TAGTGCTTTTCACATGTCAGAATTGTCAATACTTTGATTCAAGACTCCTTGAAAGCCAGACTGCCATTAAATATATTATTAGCAGCAGGGACTGTGCATGTTGACATTTTCACTTTTCAGTGGAACGCAGCTGCCTGTAGGTATACTGGCAGCTTATGTGCAAGTTTGTAGCTGTAATGGGCTGATAATTCAAACATATAAAAGTGCCTGCAGCGAATAGAGCATTTCTACTGCTGACACAGAGCTATAAGTTGTATTATATCTTAACATAGAATGTGAAATTGGCTATCTCTTTGCAGGAAAAAAGGGGAGAACAGACAATATTTAACTGTCGTCTAAATAAATCTAGAATAAACTAGAGCCACTGGAGGGCCATTGAGATTAATTGCTTCAGCTTTTCCATCCCACAGTGCATACCTTTTATTGTAAATTAGTCATTGTAATGAGGTATATGGAAGCGTGAACCTTTTCACAGTTTGTCCTGCTGCTAGGTCTCAGTCATATTTCTTCACCTGAAGGCTATCAACAAAAAAGCCCTGAGACTGTCACAGAATATCTGTAATGCTGCTTTTGACATTTCTACTTAATCGTTAAAAAAATATACAATATAGCCTTTAGATCTAATGTTGCTGAGCTGATCATATGAGTTTAACAGCTTAAAGAACAGTTTATACAAAAGTATTTCAATCTTTATTATCTTAACCACAGCTACTAACTTGGACAACAGCCTCTGGTTTCCGCCTTTTAGCAAATTTGACATCAGGATTAGAGCCTGCTAAAGTAGCCAAAGCTGAATACAAACTTCATTTCTTTCCTCTAACAAGCATTTTTTAATTAAAAGACTTGACCTTTCAAGCTCAGCTGCACTCATAATTTGCACATAGTTCGACATATAGCACCAGTTGAAATAGAATGGTATTTAACTACTTCTAATCTTTTTGGATTTTTATTTGATGATTCTGTTAATTTTCATCACCCAACTTCTGGAGTAATACACAGAAAAGACAGCAATATGATAATAACACATGATACCAGTATAAGCCTCTGTTTTCATTCAAGCAAACTTCTAAGCTTCTGTTTTTTCTTTGAAAGACAGCTTAATAAAAAAAAAATGTGTCTCAGAATTTATTTAAAAAAATACTTTGAATAAGCTTAATACTAAATTATTCTGAGCTTATCAGTTTGATTTTTACATTATTTCTATAAATAAAACTGACTTTGCTACCAAACCAAAGTAGCTTTTATGGTCTAGATTTACTCAGTTTGGAAGATTATGTACTTAAATCTAATATGATTCTTTATTAGGTTTAATACATTTAAATATTATTTTTAACTATCTCATCAAACTTATTTTTATAGTGATTATAATAAAATCACAGGTTTGTGTTAAGATTTATCAAAGTTTATATAAAGATACACTTTGTAATATATTGCAAAATAATTTTAAATCCATTTATTATTTTCTTCTCCCTTATAAAACCAAAACTTGTATTTGGTATATAATCTACTAAATTAAATACAGGGCAGTTGGTTGATGTAACATGGCAAAATGTGGGATATGGGAGTAAAATCGGCTTAAAATAAATGTATGCAAAATCTTCTCTATCCTTTATTGTAGGTGAGAGAACAGTATTATCATGCATTACTCTGAGTTTACTTCACACAACAAAAATAGCTTCTAAGTTTATCATAAGCTCACAAATTCTTAAAAGCTGCAATGATTTGATTGTTTTGCAGGGCAGAAATCAAAATCAAATTTAGTCAGAAATTGTGAAATATATAAAAATATTGAAATCAGTGAAAATTGAAATGGTAGAAACTGTTGTAGGACATAAACGATAACACCATTAACCAGCACACTCTTTCATGAACTTTACCATGAAATTATAATCTGCTTCACAATGATCCTTTAGAAATTAAAATTAATCCTCAACCAGCAGGAGCACTTCTCTATAAACCCTCAGAGAGAGCTTCAATATCTGCCTCTAAGCAGATGGCTTCTTTTAAATAGAATAAGGTGGGTTAATATTTGAGGATTCAGTGAGAAATATAATTTTTCCTTCCTTCCTGTGGATTAAATCATGACAGCTCCCTGGTCCTTTTCAGGCAGGGATTTAACTTTAATCCTCAATGGTATTTTATTTTTCTTGTAATATACAATGGTGAGAATGTAAAAAAAAAAAAGTATAAAAAGAGGCCAACCTAAATGTTTAAGTAAAATGGCTGTCAGTGGAGGAGCATAAACATCTGCAGGTAGAAGGTTGGTAGTAAGAGAAAACAAAAAGATAATGGAAATGTGTTCGGATTGGGACAGACAGCAAGGGAGATGAAAAACGAGATAACTCTCAGCTTATTCAGTCATGTATGTAATCAAATCACCAAATCACCAGTTATGCGGAAAGTAATGATAACGACAGGATAAAAATGGCAAGTATGTGCTAGCTCTTTTAATCATAACAAAATATGGGGTGATGAAGTCATTGTATGGACCAGCTCACTGCCATGTTCCTATGGGCATTCAATGAAAGACTGAAGCTGTAACACTTCTACGGTTAAGTACTTAGTGATTTAATGTACATTTGTTTTTGCTTTTTAATTTTTCTCCTCTAGAGGCTGAGAAACGAGGGAGACCTTTTTCATGACTGTCTACCCCTTTGACATTTAATTATGTGATAGAAGCAAACAATCAATTTGGTGTAATGTCATTATGCCAAATAGTGTCATTTTCTAACAGTTTTTAGAAATGCAACCCAGATACAGAAGTATGCCAAGTATTTACAATTATCCATGTAAATCAAAACTAAAGTAGTTTGCTGCCTCTTGCAGTTTTATTCCAGGATTAATTTGTGTTCTGCTAATTCTAGGGCTGCAACTAAAGATTATTTTACAAATCGTTTCATCTGTCGATTATTGTTTCGATTAATCGATTAATCGGTTAGAAAGAGGTTACTTTTTATGAAATGAAATCAGATAAAACGAAAACTTTTCCATTTGATGAGTCCTAGTTAGGGCATGTTGACTGTTTTTTGTTTTACATATTTTGTTTTTACAATTTTGGTATAATTGCAGCTAACTGTGTTTTTATCTGTCAGCTAAAGGCATATTTTAGGGTCTCTATATTCCATTCTATATCAATCAATTACTAAATTAGTAGACGACTATTTCAATAATTGATTAATCATGATTAACCCGATTATTTCAGCCCAAACTCATTCTATCAACTTTTATCAGTTTCGTCTGTAACATGATGCTACAATCTCCAGTTGTCACTTTTGAAACGGGGTTATCTCCACAGATTTACTCTATACATAGTATTTTACATATTTTTGGTCTTGTCCCTCCATGACACATTCTTTCATGTTTGCTGTGTTACCTGCACAGCTCTTTGAAAAGTTCTAAATACCAATTTCTTTCAAAATTTGCTTTTGCGTATCCCCTTCCTCCAAAAGAACAATTTCTTCAAAGTGCACAATGAATGGTTACCTCGTTAAAAGATTCTTCCACATGAGCTGTAAATGAATCTGCAGCTCCCAAAGTAACTAAGATCCTATTAACCGCTTGTCCAATACTCTTCATGTTCTTCCCCTCAGTTCAGATAAAGGGCCTTTTCTTGTTTCATATCTATTTACCAATTTCTCAAAAAATGTTGATGCTCTAGATTTTTTTTTTTTTTTTTTACAAAAGATGAATGAATACATTGAAATATAGTTTTAACTGTTTTCTTTAGGAAAAAAATATTATAAAACCATGTACACTAATGCAGTAAATTAGAATAGAAATTGTAAATAACTTTTAAGCATGTATTAAGCATTTTATTTAGGCACACCATTTTGTAATAATATAATATAATATTAGCTGTTACCAAATAATTATAATGATTAAGATAAATGGAGTCAAAATGTTTACATAATCTCTTTCTCAACATTCTGATTCATTGAGTCTTTTTTTTCACAGATTTTTTTCCCCCAAAGATATACTTTATATATAAAATTAAAATAACAGACAACTGTAACATGAACAACATTAAACATTTCAGGGGATGAAGATTTTTAGAAAGCACAAGATTTAGTCTCATAAGTATTTTTTGATCAATTGTTTGCATCACAGTCACACCGACTGACCTAAGCCTTACCTGAGAACCACAGGATGTCATATTTTACCTTTGTATTTGACTGATTGCATGGCACTAAAAGCCTCGAGTTTGTGGTGCTGAGGGCTGGACTGATGTATGGGTGTTATGTCCAGTTTGATAAATCCACAGTGTCACTCTGCCCCTGACAGCCATTCATCATGCTTTGCTTTCTCATGTGAAATGTTTGGTGTGCTGGATAATTTAGGGAGACAAATAAAAAGTGAGGTCTGAACCTCCAGCTTGGCTCATTCCCTCTCTCTGTAAGGGACACCATGTCCCTTTCTAAACATGAGCAGAGGCTGGCCATGTAACTCAACCAGCAAAATGGTAGAACATTCTTAACTGAGTTCTGGTCATTATTAATATATGCCCATACAGTCGCAAAAAAGCCTCTAAGCTCTCAGAAGGAATGGCTAATTTTAGTCATTAAGTGGTACACATACAGGGTTGTAATAAGACAGGGAAGTTGGATATGACATCACTGATGGAACTTGAACAAGTCTAGAGGGTAATCCATGCTACAGTGCACCTACCTGGCATTTTACATGAAAAAACGTGCAGTTGTCTCCCAATCCTATACCACGTTTTAGGTAGATTAGCATGCAAGAAGGAATAGCTCTACCTTAGGATGGTATTTCATTAATGAAGCTTCCAAGTGACCACAGCCATAAAGTGCCACTGGTTCCAGGCATTTCTTTGCCCATACAGTATACGTACAGTACAAGTTAGACATTCTTTCTGGTTGTTAAACTTTAACTGACAAGTAGAAATATTAAACGGTTGAAAATATTCAAGTGAATACTGATAATTAGAAAGTCTGTACAATGTAGGTTAGAGAAGAAATATGAAGAAAACAGAAAGACCACTGTTTGTAAAAGAAACAATGACATTTATTATTTTTTCTTAGCGCTTTTCTCGATTAGTTTGTTGTGCCCATTGATCACATATAATACAGTTAATATAAAAATGGCTTTTTGACTTTACACCCAAAGCAATAACAAAATGCTTCCTTAAAATATGTATGCTAAAAATACTGAGAAAGTATTTCACTTAATGTACTGGGAGTATAGTTTCTGATTCTGCAATGATGACATGAGCATGTTTGCTATGGTTGACGGATTTCCTTAGTTCCTCTTCCTCCTTTCTTTATGTAGTTCTTGTAGGCACTTACCAGGATATAGCAAACCACTCCTTGAAGAGACAACACATCTCTGACTAGGTTTTAATCAACCTCTTTGTGTAGTTTTAGTTGACTTGATCTGCATCGTCTTCCAGTCATTGTCGTAATGAGAACTACGAAGCATAAACAGTCATTGGGCAAATCTCTCTAGACACTCATTTCATAGCAGAATTTCATTAAGCTTAATGTGAAGCTGTAATCAAAAGTAGTTTAGTCCTCTCCTTAATTTAAAACCCATTTAAACTTTTCACATACAGAGAATTTGTCATTACATCAACATAATAGAATATATAACAATATTTCCAAGAAAGAAAAACTCAAGAATCCATCTTTTTAAATAGAAAAATGGGTTATAGTTCATCAAAAGGCTTACACCATAGTCACTGGTATTCGTCTACTCTACTAAATCTCCCTCCCTTCCCATAATAGACAGGTGTTATTACTGTTTCTCTAACTCGTCTATGGATGTTTGACAAAGCACAGACGGTATTGCTTGGGACCACACGGACAGTTCCACGACTCTGAACACATTTAACAGTCAATTACAATAGAGTTGATCACCGTCGTCGTCTTTGCTTCCATTTTTCTGCCTGTATTTCCGGATAAATTGTATTCGGGTTGGTGTTTTTGCAGTAGAGACCTTTTCCATTAACAACAGCTTGTTTTCAAGCAAGGTTCACAAAGCTATTGCTTTGTACGGGATGCCATGTAGTCTAGTTATTAAGAGTTTCATCCCATGTATGATTATAAATTTTGCCAGTGTATCTGAGCTGGGATTTAGCCACAGGTCTGCTTTTGAAAACATTAGTTAGTTCACCCCTGCTTATGGCCTTGTCCATTATCTGAAGTTAGTAAGAGACACTGTCCACTGCTGGATATTCTAAAAGGTATTGTCAGATACATTTATGACTGTGGCTTTAACTTCCACTCCACTTGGCACACTCTTACCCGTATCCCAAAGCTTTGTAAAGAAAGACGACTGCAGACTAGCCACTTCCACTGGTGTAAGGAAAGCCTTGGAGTCATATCTCCTTATATTCCCATAAACGTAGCGGTTCCTCAGAGATGCGTAAAAAAACAGGCATGCCAATGAAACCACTGCCAAGAGCACTCCAAAGACAGTGATTAGTGCTGCATCCAATTTCCCTGTGTCCTTGGCTGCCAGCTCTAATCCCTTAGTGGTGACATTGACGCATTTGGTGTCATGGTTGTAGTGGATGCTGCGGATATCCACACAAACTTTGTACTCAGTGGCAGGGTGTAGATGAGAGAGGTTATAAAGTTGGACATCTAAGGGAACTCTGGTGGTAAAGGCTGTGGTTGGATGATTTGAATCAGATAGAGTGTACCACTTAATGCTTGGGGACAAAATGCCAGGGTGACCATTCCAAGAAATCATGATGAAGTTTGTCCCCACTGATTTGATTACCACATTTAGAGACCCACTTGCAAGTTGAGGAAAATATCCATTCACCTCTACTGAAACAGATTTGAGGTCAGCTCCCACCAGGTTATGTGCGACACAGGTGTAAACACCAGCCTCTTTTTCAGATATATCGTAGATGTCGAAGGTTCCCTCTGGGTGCATGTAGAACTTGTTAGACATGGAATTTGGCAGGATCCTGGTACCAGAAGGGGTAATCCAGTAGATCTCGGGCTCCGGTTCAGCAAACGCCCGGCAGTGGAGTGACACAGAGCTCCCTTTGTGTGCCTTGATGTGTCCTGGCATACTTTCAGGGGATATAAGGGGCAGGCAAATTTCCATCATCTCCCTGAAGTGGACTTGTCGAACATGTTGGCCCTCATACTCTGGAGGCTCTACACAGTACAGTGAATCAGGCTCCATGAAGCGAATGTTGGTTTTGTTCATATTCATCCAACGGACCACACAGTCACAGCGTATGGGGTTGCTGTGCATGCTGACTTCTCTGAGATTAGGGAGAGACTCAACTGTTATTCTATGGAGAGCACTGAGTGCATTGCCATTTAGCATGAGGGTCTCCAGGCGTGGTAGTTTGTAAAAAGCATTGGGGTGGATGTAGGAAAGTTTAGGATTGTTGGTGGCTTCTATTTTGGTTAGTTCAGGGAGGTTATTAAGAGCAAAGCTGTCGATGGAGATTAGCTCTGGCATGCTGTTAATACCCAGTTCTTTCAGATGAAGCATGTCAACAAAGTCTCCTCTCTGTATCCGGGTAATTGGATTTTTATTTAAGTCCAAAAACTTAAGATTTTTAACAGTTTTTAAGGCTGAATGAGGGACCTCTGGGAAAATGTTATCATAAAAAGAAATGCTCTCCAAGTTTTCAAGGCCTGTAAGTGCATTGTCAGGAAGCTGAGAAAGGTTCATTCTGGTAAGAACAAGACTGCGGAGATTTGCTAGAGGTTTAAAGTTCATATTGTAGATGGAAAGAACTGGGTTCTCGCCAATCATAAGGATCTCCAGATTCGACATTGGTTCAAACCATTCCCTCTTAATAACCATCAGCTTGTTAGAGTTGAGATGAAGTCGCAGAAGGTTACTTAGGCCTTGGAAAGCTGTTGCAGAAATAGAAGAGATGAGATTGTGATTCATGTAGAGCTCCTGCAGGTTAATCAAATCAGAAAGGCATAGCCCAGGTAGTTCCTTTATCCAGTTCTCCTCAAGATGAAGAGAAACCAATTGAGAGAGATTACCCAAATGGATATCAGTAATAGAAGATAAATTGTTTTGTGATAAGTCAATATCTGTGATATTGGCCAAGTAATTCAAAGGTTTGTCAATCTTTGCCACATTGTTTGTTTGCAGTAATAGAACTTGTGTGCCCAGTGGTAATCTTTCAGGCAGGCTGAACAGTCCTACATCATTACAGTCCACAGTATGTGCCTCCATGTACACTGATGTAGGAGAAAACCAGGGTCTGATTTCACATGCACAAAGCTTCGGGCAATCAGGCCTGACCTCGGTGGCTACGAGAGAGGCCATAGCCAACCCAATAAAGAGGCAATCCAGAAACGAGAAGTCCTTCATAATGAACCGTTTCGGCCAACCAGAAAATAGTCTTTGCAGATAAAAGATTCTCAGTTGTAGCCTTCACCAACCACAAATCATTTGCTACTGCTGATGCAGAGGCGGCTGACTCACCCCCCTGACACACACACCACCACCAATGGGTTCCCTAGGGATTTTTTATGTCTTGCTGTGTGGATGTCCTTGAATGTAATGACCAATCACTCTATGTTGCATCCAGTTTAAAGGTTTGAAGTCAAAGTTGCAACTCTGACAAAAAGTTAGGACAGGTGAAAAAAAGAAAAAAAGTTTATATCTGTTTCTCTAGGTATAGGTTTTACTTAAAGTTTAATTTCCTCTTTGATTGTCTTCAGTAGCTTTGAGATTCCACAGTCCAGTCCATTCATACCTGCAGAAAACAAACAAGACAGAGAGAAGCACTTTTAGTATTACACAACACTGAAAGTGGTCAAGGAATGTCATGAAATAGGGATTTGGGCATATTGACATTTGTTATAGGCACACTGATGCATGTTGACATTTATACGTGCTCCCTTCAAGATATAGAACAATGGATTCATATCTGCTTGACCTTCTAGACTTCATTTCTGGGATGTACCGCATGTGGCCTTACCATATGCCATTCGGTCTTGACGTTAGGGCGGTGTGAGCCTATTATTAGTTAAAGAGAAAGCTTATTAAGATTCTTAAATGGCAAACAACTGAGGGCTTAAGCACCAGGACTTGAAGGGAAGCTGCACTGAAATATGCCAGTCGCTATAGCAACAAGTAAATGGGCAGCCACTCACAAACAACACTATGAGATTGGTCGGTGGTAAAGGCAGACAAAGCTTTTGACCCAGATGCAGTTTGCACCTGTTTGATAGAGGACACAGAAATAGCAGGATTAAGAATTAAAATGCCCTTGCTGCTCTCTAAATTTTTTATGAAAGTCACACAGTGTAAAATCTGAAAACCAAAAGTAATAAAAAGATGGGGGTCGAAATTTTCATGCAACACAAATCCATGAATGTTCAATGTCAAATGATTGGTAATATATATCTAGTCACATACTGTATGAATGTTCTATGTAAGCTTTGTTGGACTTAAAGGAGATTGTAATCTATGGTCTACTTAATTCAGTGCTGTATTTTATGAGAAGCAATCTGTAAGTAGTATTAACTGAGCAAGAAGCAAAAGACTGATTCTTCACATCAAAGCTTTAAATGACAAAAGACACTGCTTTTTTTGTTGGTATGTGTTTTTTTGTTTTTATAAACCCTGACAAGGGGGGAGCTTTTCATTTGGGATCCCTCCAATACACTTTTTCTATTTCAATCAACGTTTATTATATAGATTAGATTCAACAAATTTAGTCTGTTTGTGGAGGCGTGTCAAATTACTACTGTTTGTGACAATAGGGTTAACCATATAATACATGCACAATGCAATTATCAAGCTTTATCCACTTCCTGGGAATATTAATCTACAACTTTCCTCAGGGACTCTGTTTTTTTATTGTTTTTGTTTGGGTTTTTTTAGAGTGGAGTCTAACAGCTCTCAAATAATCATTAATAATACTTTTAATAATACTAATATATTTATACTAATAATACTTTTTTTTGCTTTTATTTAAGTCCATTCAACTTCTGTTGTTGAGAAACATCTGTTCTTCCAGTAAAATTAGAGCTTAACTACCTAATATTTTTAACAGGATTTTTCATTAATTTATATTTGCATTATATTGGCCTGTCTTATTTTGTCTTTTTTTTAACATTGTTTTATGTCCTGGTAGACTTTAAATCTAGGTCTAGATCTTGACTTGAAGCCAGGCCATTATAAAATGCCAAACAAATAAACATTTTTCTTTTCTGTTTGATATTACTCGATAAAAGAAAAGTCCCCAAAACAATAAGCTACACATATCCTTCTTTACAAGACCAAAAGTCACAGTTTTAATGATAGAACATGTATTTAAGTCCAGATTCTAAAGCTGCAGTATTGTGGACCTACATAAAATCCTCCAGTCAATTTAAACATTGTTTTATATTTGTCTTTTTCTGTATTAACCATACAGATAGGTTTCTTCTTATATCAATGTCCAAAATGTACTTAAAACTCCCCTATGAACCAAAAACTGAACTGTATATAATTTGAGTCCACAATGTGTAGAATGTTTGAGTAAAACTCAAAAATGCTTAAATCTCCACCATCCTAAAAGATGTGCCTTTTGATATATAAAATGTAAAATCCCCCTTGTAACTGTTATATTTGTTTCTTAAAGTAAGAAGTAAAATAAATCATTTCTTTGGTTTGTACTTCCTGGAACTTGTACCTGATATTCCCATCTCCTCCTGCATTGAATTTAATAAAAAAAAAAAAAAAAATGATTCAATTGTGGATTTCTTTCCCCCCCCATCTCTTAGACAAAGCTTGGTCTTCATCAAAGCAAAGTAAAGACACTTCTCACATTTGACAAACCGGAATCAAATGAATGGCTTGTTAAAAGGCCTTGATTAACATCTGAGGAGCAAATTAAGCCCTTATAACCAGAAGTTTGGGAGCAGGGAGACATTTAAAAAATACAAGACATCTTAGGGTTGACATTACACAACTATGTGTGTTACGTAAAAGGTCAGAAAATATTTGTCAACTTCCTCAGTTGGTTACAGTCACTGTTTAAAATCGTAGGGAAACGGCTGTTTTAACTTTCGCATTTCTGAATTGTCCCGAGTGGTGCACAACTTTACACGAGTGAATAAAATGAATGTGATTGGTCGTTTATCAAGAGTGCAGGGTTGTTGTGGCAGAAGGTTCGCAAGCAAGTTTGATTTTGTCTCAGATCCATCTTGCTAACCAGTTAGCAACTTAGTGCCAGTAGGTTCCCAATGGGAAATTGCATTTGGACCAAGTAGCACTAAATTCGTGACTTAGAAACAACACTGTCAAGGAACGCTATGGACAGCGGAAACATGCAAGAGGAGCAGAGTTTTGTACCGGGGATCGTGGATGGGTTTCCTCCATCATACAATCTTTATTTAGAGGAGGAAGGTGGGGACGAAGATGTTGTGAAAGAGGACGCCAGGGTGGCAGAAGCTTTGTTTGGTGCAGAAGGCTCACAGCCGTACATGTTTGAGCCCTTGCCTCGCAATGCTGCCAGTTCTGTTTCTCTACGCCTGCTGCAGACACAGACGTCCATCCCCGTGAACACTGGGACGTAGCTCAATGGTAAAGTAAATTATTCTTATTTGTTATTTCAACCATTGCATATATTAGCTGCGACATATGAATCAAGATGCTATGACCGAAAATATTTTATCGACAGATGACCTGTGATATATGATTGGCCGAATTTAGGTGTACAGACTGACGTTTATATAACTGCCCTGCATAAGATAACGAACAAAAACACACATTTATAAGACAGGATTTTTTTTCTTTTTTTTAAATAGAGATTTTCTAAATTTTCGGACAATATCATTAGATAAAGAGTACATTTATATACATGTTTAAGCCAGAATGATTTGACATTTAGATCTGATTTCCCTATAACTTTAAGATAAACCCATTTTTCCTCTTTATTTGAATAAAAACCCCGTAGCTGTGTTTCAACTTCATTATTTCAGCTAATCTAGCATTTACAGTTTTGATGTATGGCCTATTATGGGTTTAACAGTACAGGTAATGGTCCGAAACTATCACAACACAAATGTCACAACATGAATGGAACCACCCCCATTCATAATGTCCTTCTCTTTTTAGCAGACTTCTCAGAAAATTGGTAGATTAAATTGTTATCTCACACCGCCACATCAAAGCATTGCAAAAATACCCTTTTTTTTGTTTTTCTGATGTCTTAGTTCATTATCCATTATTCACTGAGCAATTCAATGTGTGCTAAATATTTCTTATACCTGAACTGACAATGCATAAATGCAAAAGTGTTATAACAGTTCAGTGTTAAGTGTTTTAACTTTTTTAACTAGTTAGTGACAGTCTAAGGTTGTGCAATATTAAAGCTTAGCATTATTTTTTAAAGTGAAGATTTTCCTCACTTATCTAGATGCTGTCATATGACTGTCTGATGAAACATGAATAAGTCTTTATTGTTAGCTCTGTACATGATAGGGTATACTGTACATCTTGGTCTTTATTTGAGCCTTTTAAGAAACAAAGAAGTTCTTGAATCACTGACCTTTCAAATGGATAAGGTTGGCTAATAAAAGCTGTATAACAACAATGTGTGACAAAGGCATAAAAAAAACATTTCCACCACTAAATTATCAAGCAGATTTTGGGGTTTAAAAATAGAAGTTAGTTTTCAGCAGTTGGCTGCTACAGTCTTCAACATCTGCTTCAAAACATTGCATTGCTACTAAATTAGGATCAGTGTCTGTAGTAAAGGAGTATTCTAACTAGGTAATTTTTCAAAAATCGATAATGCATTTACTTTACTTGCAATCTAGAGCAAAAAAAATTGTTTAACTCAGTCAATCAAAACAAATTTTCATAAGTGCATTATTGGGACTGAGCTTAGATTAGTTAACTGTTCCGATCTTGGTTCTTACGATCATCGTGCCAGCATGGTTCCTCTCCCTCTATCGGTGTTTCAAGATACTGCACCTCTCAAGGCAGGATTTACGCAAACAAAAATGGCGGTACCCATAACATTCAGGAACTTATATGCCTGGATAGCCTCTTCCGCCCAAATTTCAATGAGAGCATCATCCCAGGTTGCACCATGCTCTTGAAGCCATTTATTGTTAATAGGCTGAGAAGAAGATCGTGTTGTGAACAGGTGAAGAGATCTGTGAACCGAGCTGCAATTGAACCAAGCCGAGCCCTACTGTTTAACTAGCACTACATTTAGGGCCATTCGGTTGTGTCTGGCGGGGTCCAGTTCAGTTGCGTTTTATTTACACTCAACAGTTATCTCAGTTACCGCTCTCAGACCGTTCTTGGCACCGTTTCAAAAGGGTAGTGGAAATGGGGCTATAGGCATATGATTGGCTGAGGGCATATAAAGCGGGTAGGTTCTCAACATGCTATGGTGGACAACACGAATCGGAGAGATTGTGGCACCAATGAAAGTGTTCTGAAACTGTCTACAGTCAAAGGCTAAATGTTCCAGTGATTGGCTATTCATGTCTTCAGTGCTATAATAAATGAACTTGAATGGTATCTGCTACTGTTATTTATTTTTCACATAATGGAAGTCAGTCTTCCTGTTTTCTTACTTTTGTAATTTATAGAAACAATCTAAATATACACAATATTTTTTATTTTCCTAAATGTATTACCTTATCTCTTGAGCTGGGTGCACAGTTGCCTGACCTGTTGTCCATAGTAGAATGGAGCCTTTAGCTTCTACTACCCACACTATATTCTGCCTGTGTATTGTGATTGCAT